CTCAGTATAAAACTCTACTTAACTTGTCTTGTTTCTGATCCTAGTCAGTGCTCAGTTTCTTCACATCCACCCATAAGTGCTTCTGATCACAGCCTGATCTCTCTAAAACTATTATCTCATTCTTCTTCATCATCTGAATCCCTCTATCATCATACCTCTTAAAACTACCTAGAAATCTTTCGTCTTGTTGCTGAAAAATGTGCTTCTTACATAACTTCATGGATTCAGGCTGGTGTGGAATCTTTTATTCACTTGACAATTCCAGGTCAAGCCTTACTCTTCTCCGTGGTTAGCCTCACTCATCTCCATGGTTTTCCTCACTTTGTGCTGTTGCAATTGCCAATTGAAACCATTTCTTCCATATCTATCAGCAAAACAATTCTCCAGAAAACAGACATCTGTTTATTACTGCTAGAAACCATTGTAAAAAGGTTTTGTCTAACGTCAAAGCCCGCTATTCTCAGGTCAAGAAATCTTGCATTTCATCACAAAAACTAGGGTTTTGTGAATTCTGGAGAATATTTAATAGTATCAATAATAAGGGCAAGTCTGTTATTTCCACCTCTCACCTAAAGACAAAGCTGAGTTGTTTGCTAATAAATTTTCATAAATATTATCTCTTGATTCCACTAGTTGCGTTCTACCTTATATAACCATCAAACAGGTTGATCTATTGCTTGACATGTTGTGGTCCGGACAACATACCTGTTATAGTTTTGCAAAAGTGTTCTCCGGAGCTGTCGTCTATACTTTCAAAACTATTTAATAAGCGCTTATCAAAGTCTTGTTTTCCAGCCTGCGGGAAAGCAGCATTTATTATCACTATTTTCAAAAATTCTTGAAAGCGATCTGATTTATCTAACTACTGTTGCATCATCTTATCATAAGTAAGGTTTTTGAATCTTTAATTAATAAACACTTAATCTCTCATCTTGAATCTAATAACTTACTTTCTTATTATCAATATAGAATTCAGGCTTTCCGTTCTACTGCTGATTTGTTAACGGTAATAACCGACAGTTTTTATCGTGCATTAGATAAAGGTGGAGAGGTTAAGGCCACTGCTCTTGACATTTCTAAAGCTTTTGATAAAGTTTGGCATGCTGGTCTTCTCCATAAGCTTTCTTCTTACAGTGTATCTGGTAACATCTTTAAGATTATTGAATCCTTCCTTTCCAATCGTAGTATAAAAGTTGTCCTCGATGGACAGTACTTCTTCTTATTTAGTAGCTTCAGGGGTTCAAGGTTCAATCCTTGGTCCTATACTCTTTTTAATTTACATTAACAACCTTCCACATATTCTCACATCTAAGGTGGCATTGTTCGCTGATGATACTACCATTTATTCTTGTCATGACAAGAATAAATGGTAGTATCATAAGAAGCCAACACTCTCTGATTGCTTGGAGGACACATTTGAGCTTGAAAAATGATCTCACTTCTGCTACAGCATGGGGCTCACAGTGGTTGGTGAACTTTAATTCAGAAATAACTCAATTCTTTCAGCCAACTGTTATCACAATTATTTAAATCTTCCTATATTTATGGACAGTAATGTACTCCATGAGTCATCTACCATACATCTTCTAGGATTAACTCTTACTTCTGATCTTTCTTGGAAACCATATATCAAATATAGCATCTGCTAAGATTGCATCTCTTTATCACATTTTTTTCTATCACTTTCAACACTTTCTTACTCCGGATTTTATTCTTTATCTCTATAAATTTTAAATCCGGCCTTGTATGGAATACTGTTGCCATATCTGGTGTAGATCTTCTAATGATACCCTTTCTCTTTTAGGCAAGGTGCAAAAAAGCATTGTAAACATAGCTGGACCTGTTCTTGCAGTCAACCTCCAACATTTATGACATTGACACAATGTTGCTTTTCTTTCTCTTTTCTAAAATACTATAATAGGAACTGCTCTAAAGACCTTGTGTCTCTTGTTCCATCTAATAAAATTCATTCTCGTGTTACTCGTCATTTAATTAAGTCTCATCCTTTTTCTGTGACTGTACCTAAGTGCTCCCTTTCTGATTCATATAATTTGCAATCTTTTATGACTCTTTATTCAGCAAAGTAAGAACCAGCTAAGTCAACTTTTCAATACCTAAATTTAACTGGAAGACAAAATTACACTATATGCTTACACAGAACTTAACTGGAAGACAAACTTATAACATATGTGTACCCCGAATTTAAAAGATGAATTTGGATATTAAAAACACATTTAATTAAAAGAGAACTTTGGATTTTTATATCGAATTATCATGAATTAGCCAAGTTAACATGCATTTAATAAAATTTACAGAATTTACATGGATTTTTAAGAAATTACAGAAAATATTATTTTAAAGGGACTACCAAGACCCAAGACATGTTGTGTTCATATTAAGGAGAATGTTAAAAAAAAAACGTCTGAGCAAATTTTTTTTGATTAAAACTAATTAATAAATGTATACCAAGAAAAACAAACCTTGTTGTTTTAGTCGAAGCTTTTCTTCTCTGTTTTCTGTGGTATTTTGAGTATGTAAAATAAACGAGATTTTCTAGGCGCATTATACAGACTTAATAATTTATTCAAGCGCGTTTAACTCATAGGAGTTTTAGTGTATGACATCATTGGAAATATTCTAGAAATTCTTTAAAAATTTTACTATTAAATTTTTCTAAAATAGCTAACTATAGTTACTTATTTTATTAAAAGTTTATTTTATTAATTGTTCGTTAGTTTTTTACAAATCTAACGAACAATTAATTAAACCAAGCATTAAGAAAAGAAATAAAAATTAAGAATATACTAATAAAATATATAATTTGTAATTAACTTTTAAAATTTTGACAACTTAAAAAACATATATTATAAAACATTTATTTTTGTAAACAAATGATAATAGTTTAAAGGATTTACGTCTTTACAGATTTGTGGCTCCGAGAATGAGCCATAATATTTACAGATTTGTGGCTCCGAGAATGAGCCATAATATTTACAGATTTGTGGCTCCGAGAATGAGCCATAATATTTACAGATTTGTGGCTCCGAGAATGAGCCATAACATTAAAGTAATAGTTCATTTGATAATATATTCTTAAAAAAATTTATGCTAGATATCTCAAAATGCAGCAAATCGTAAATAATACAATTTCTAAAACATTTCAACAGAATACTCTAAAACTTTATTTCGCTTAGTCAGCATGTTTTTTGAACCAATAGAATTAGTTTGTTCACAAATTTGGCAGGTTTTTAGTGTTCGCGAATATTCTTTTTATTCTTCCGCAAGATGTTTTAAGAAAATTCAAGTTAATTATGTTTCCATGTATGTCTGTAAAATAAAAATTAATATATATTAATTTTTTAATTTTTAAGCCCCCGCCATAATATATATTGGATGTTATAATAATGGAAATATAAATAATGAATTAAGATAACCTCAATACCAAAAAATACATTTTTGAAAATCAGAAAAAAAATGCGTTAATAATTTTTTTTTAATATTTACAAAATAAATTAATAAAAGTGCATTATTATTTAGGTTAAAAATTATTTTATCTAATATTTTGAAAGAAAAACTTATAACTAAAGAAATCAAAATACACGTGGTCTAGATGATTATTTAAAAAAAGTTGGGCAAATAAAATACTATTTTGTTTTTTATTTTATTTTTATTTTTAATCTTTATTTTATTTATTTTGTTTTTAATTTTATTTTGTTTTTAATTTTGTTTTACAAACACATTTTAGAACTTTAAAATATAATAAAAATGAATATGATTTGGAAATTGTATGTAAAAAATAACAATCAGTGTTTTAAACAAACAAAAAAAAATCTATGACGTCATGCACTAAAACTCCTATGAATTAAACGTGCTTGAATAAATTATCAAGTCTGTATAAAGCGCCTGGAAAATCGCGTTTATTTTACATACTCAAAATACCACAGAAAACAGAGAAGACAAGCTTTGACTAAAACAACAAGATTTGTTTTTCTTGGTATACATTTATTAATTAGTTTTAATCAAAAAAAATTTGCTCAGACGTTTTTTTTAACATTCTCTTTAATCTGAACACAACATGTCTCGGGACTTGGTAGTCCCTTTAAAGCCTTAAACTTCATCTTACAATTGTAATTTTTTTTTTTTTTGTACATCAGGATACTTCTGTATAATGTTAACAAGCTTTTCTACATTGTTGCTATTAAGATTGGTTTGGGTCCAAGTGAAAAATTGGCCAGCTGCAGAAACGATTCCTTGTGAAGAAGCTGATGAATATGGTATAGGATACATTTTCATGACAATGGATGCCAACTTTGGGTATTGCACTGTTGTGGTACCATGCTTTTCCACTACTGTAAAACATCAGTTTTGTTTGCTACCAATCGAAATTATTATTTTTTTTAATGTCTTTGCTTCCAACAAGGCTGCAAGCAACCACTAATTAGTGTTGGAAGTTACTGGAAGAGAAAAGATGAAGATTGCAGAGCAAGATAACAATTGACAGACAAATAAAAAAATATTTTTGCTGTTCTGCTTGAATGTCAGAAGAGTTTATGGAGTTAGTTCTGGAACTAAGACCATCCTGAGTAGAGTAGTCGGAGTTTGGTAGAAGACAATCTTGTCAGAATCTAGAGTATTAATAGGTGGTCTCTACAAAGTAAGGGTGAAGAATTTTTTCAGCAGAGAAGTCTAAATCATGGTCTAGCATGTAAACAATGGCATAGATGGTGTTCTCCATGCAATTTTCTTTATATAATTTTGTAATCATTTATTTTGTAATTTGCTCATCCATTGTTGTTGCTGACTGTTTCATATATTCTTCTTTTTTTGGTCAGCAAGTCCGGTATTAAAGCATAAAGAATAGCAAATAAGTAAAAACATGTAGTCAATTACATGAAAATATAAAATAGCAAAACCAATGTGAAAATAAAAATTTTTTTTTAATACAAAATATATGCAAAAATAGTAAAATTTAAGTAAAATTTAATTCATGTACCCCTTACTTTTTCCAAAGGAATTCCTGGTACTGGTAAAACTAAAGACGGAATGAGCTTTAAAATATTCATTCCTATAATTTCTTCTGGATCTTCGAAACCATGCAGTATGGCAAATGAAAAATCACAATCTTTGATCTCTCCCTGAGTAACCAAACAGATAAAATTAAATAATTAAAATTATTAATATTAACATGCAATATAAAAAATGCTTATTATATATTGTACATTTCTTTATTATATATATTTTAATTTCTTTGATTTATACATAGCTGGAGGTTTATTTTTTTAAAAGAAAAATAAGCTGCATCAACGTATGAAATTTTTCAAGAAAAGTTAAATAACTTTCATACATTGTTGCATCTGTTCACTTTATGTTTTAAATGACATAGAGGTTGGTATAATTTTATTTGTGAGACTAATCCTAACATTTGTAAAGTGCTAATTAAACTTGTTTGAAACAGAAGTTATCTATTATTATCAGAAAATATTTAAAACTTGTGGAAAAAAAAAAGTTTTATATATATAGCTTTACTTAAAAGGCTGTATTTAGAAAAGTTGAAAAATGCAGTAATATATTTTTTGTTAATAGTGATGTTTGAACCTATATTATAATTTATAACAATGCCTCAAAAAAAATTATTAATGTGACATCACCATTTTGACCATCAAAACACCCAAAAAAAAATTGTATCCGCCATGTGAAAGATTGTCCATGTACAAAATTTCAGGATGATACCTCATTTGGTTCATTTTTAACAACAAAAAAGTAAAAATTGTGGTAAAATAAGAAAATTAAATCCTGAATATCTCAAGAACCGTAAGGAGTTGGAGGTTCTAAATTTTAGATTTTATTTTAATTTTCATCAACCCTATAACATATAAACAAATTAGCAAAATCCAAAACATGGGGTGACATTTTTCATTTTTTTCTGCTTATTTGAGACAATTACCCATTAAATACCATTATTTTATTAAAAAATTAAATTTTTTGAAAAGTCAATCCTAGGCTAGAAAAGCAGACTATAACTCACACTTGCACCCATATTTCTCTGAGTTTCATTCATGCTGCTTTTAAGTTGCTTGCATAAAATGCAGTCTACACTAGTAATTTATGAAAAAGTAAAATATTTTCTAGATATATAAAACGGACTCAGTATAAGTGTTACTGTTCATCAATAAAGGAGTATTAACAATATTGTGATAGAAATTAGCAATTATTATTAGAAACAGTAGCTACAAAAGATGGTACCATGGCACAGTGGTTTGATGGTTTGAAAGAATCAAAAAGTGGCATTATTTCCAGATTTGTGAAAATCCGATATAAAAAGTTCTGATTATGTAAGACTGTTGCAAATTGATTATATTTTCATTATCTGAAAAGATTTTTCTTTTTTGACCACTTGGCACTTCCCCACAGAAACTCAAAGTTGTCATTTTTTAAAGAACAATTTTTTGGTGAAAAAGAAATAATTTTGAACTTTTATTTTATTTTTTAAAACACACCTCTAAAATTCCATTATATTATATATCAATCAGAAAAATATTAAACAGGCTTTTAGAGTTAAGTGTAAAATATTTTATAAAATTACAAATCATGAAGTAAAAATGCAGAGAAAGATAACTTTTTAGACTAGAAAATAATAACATACTTGAATGTGACTTGTATTAATTTCTGTATGTTTCTGTAAGAATCTGAATACGTAAGGATAAACTTCGATCCCTCTTCTTTTAATCCGATATAGGCTTTGATGCAGCCAGGACCTGCATAAGAACAACTATTTTAAATTCAAAAATGTTTCTACTGAAACTGTTTTTTTTTTTTTATTATTACATAAAACATAACTGTCATTTTATATCCAATATTTCAGATAACAATTATGAATCAGAAAATGCTTATCGTGCATTATTGCTATTATTAGATGAACCAGTGCCACCTAGATGGGGTATTTTTCCCAAAATCCTTTTTGTATAAGACTTTTTCGAGCTTTTACAAAATCTTTATTTATGTTTACTTTTGCCTGCCATTGCCTAATATCCAATTTAAACTACAAATAAAGGAGTTATTTCATGAAATGGATCCAGCAATAAAGTTTACTTATCCCAAAAAGTGAAAATACTTTTTCAGTGTTAAATAACTTGTTTGTGTAGTTTTCAATGTGACTCATTTTAATAGGTATTGCTTTATAGAGCGGACACAATTGATAAGAGGGTGTTTCAGTGGTTTCCACAAAGAAAAAAATTTTAATCAATGGCTATTAAAAATAAAGAGCTTTAGATATTAGAAACTTTTCCATTCGATAGCTGCATAATAATATGAGGAAGTTCATTTATTTATTGTTCAACAAATAATTTTGTTTCGAGAATAAGTTCTTTAGCATACTTTAAAGTCATTGGTATCATAATTTAACAGAATTAGGAGTTGAGTTTGCTAAAACACATCCCAGTCATACGTATGTAATCTTAAAGATACAGCTGTAATAAAAAAAAAAGCAAATTGCCTGATGAACTTACAGATAACTTATCGAACTTATGGTTGAATTGGGAAAAATTACTGGCTCCATCAAATCCCTAATTTACAACAAAAACTAACTTAAACAAGTCCTTTTTTTTTGTTATAATTTTAGATATGATTTGTACCTCTTGTGATTCCAGAATATTGCTGCATTATTTCATGACTTCTTTTTTTTTTTTTTTAAAGAAATCTCTAGATACAGAGGACTTTTTTTAGAAACTGACGATTGTGCCTCCCCTCTCTCCACTTTAAAACCTGTGTCATCGACCCTGTTAATTATTTACACAATTTTAAATCAACAAAAAGATATTTTTTAAATTCTTTTAACTTGCGGAAGATTTTAGAGATATAATAATTTAAAGAAAGAATTTTGATGATATATTAATAGAATGTTTTTCAGTTACCACAAATATATCTTTTTATGACAATATTTTTAAGTTTGATTAAAAATGGCAGTCAAATTCTGTAGGGAAAAAAAAAATTAATTAGAAACATTTTTAAATTTAAAATATTTTTTCTTGGGCAAGTCCAGGCGGCATCAATACCTATATGGGATTTAAAAAAAGGTTGAAATTTATCCATACGTATTCAGACTCTTAAAGAAACATGCAGAATTTAATAAGTTACATTAAAGTATGCTATTATTTCCTAGTCTAAAAAGTTTCTCTGCATTTTTACGGCATGAAATGTAATTTTACAAAACATTTTACATTCTAAAAAACCTATTTAACATATGAAACTCTATAATTTTGAAAGCCTGTTTAACATTTTTCTAATTGATATATAATATAATGGAAGTTCACAGGTGTGGTTTAAAAAAAAAAAAAAATTTCAAAATTATTGCTTTTTCACTAAAAAATTGTTCTTTAAAAAGTGACAACATTGAGCATCTGTGGGAAAGCACAAAGTGGTCAAAAAATAAAAATCTTTTTAGAAAAGGAAAATATAATCATTTTTGCAACAGTCTTACATAATCAGAACTTTTTAAATCGGATTTTCACAAATTTGGAACTAATGCCACTTTTTGATTATTTTCAAGCTGTGCATGGGGTAGAAGGTTGACTTAAAACGAACAAGTGGGAATAAAAGTTTCCATGCCTGAATCTAGGAGGTTACATAAAAGTTGCAAGTATTAGCAGAGAAACAAAAGACATTAGCCCAAGGACCATCCAAATAAAATATAAAGAAAAAAATTCCTGTCAGATTTAAGGTAATAAGAAATGCCATTATAGGGTCAAAGACATGACGCAAACCAAATAGTGAAGGTAAGTATTTAGGGTTGTCAACTAATGACCGAGCTCTTTTTTTTTAATCATCAGCCAATACTGTTGTAATTACTTTAATGCTCATTATACTGAATGGTTTGGTTGAGGTACAACTGACCATGCTTGAACACCATATTATACTAAATGGTTTGGTTGAGGTACAACTGACCATGCTTGAACTAAAGATCATAACTTTAGTATTTTTATGTGAACGAAAGAAAAAAACATCAGAACTAAGATCCAAAAATAAAACAGCCAAATTCAAATTAGTCTCATAAAAAGTTGGTCTCATAAAGATCTGGTGAATTTTGCAAAAGTTAAGATTTAATAATTAAAAGTTACTAAAAGAAAACGAATATTTGTAAAAGATTGAAACAGCTAGGTGGTGGTGATGGTTTAATATTTGTAAAAGATAGATTGAAACAGCTAGGTGGTGGTGATAATAAGGCAATTACCTTCATATTTATAAGTAGACCTGTAGAACAAGAGAAAACAACAAATTGTTTAAATAAAAAAAAAATTATAAACTTTGAATGAATGAGTTTTACACTCAGATCAATGTCATTGCATATATCCCTTAAAACAAAGTTTTTTAACAACTTTAAATGATTGTTTATAATTACAACGTAAGTGGAATAAATGCATGGAAGATATAAAAGGTATTAAATATATTTTGATTTTTATGAAAATGATATATTTAATACCTTATATATCATAAAAGAATTTATACCTTACATATCATAAAATTTAATTGTTTAATGTGATATTGTTTATAAAGTTTTAATATAATTTTATATTATATTTATAGGATACATAAATTATTTAAAAAACCTCCTACATTCCTCTACTAACTTTAAAATAACTGAATCAATATTTTTAAAGATAATGGTCTTTTAAAACAAAATATTCTAAGGAAAATATCTAAGTACTTAAAATAAAAATGTTTTATTTTAAGTACTTAGATATAATTTATAACAACTTTTATCATTAAATAAAATTATTGTGTTTAAAATGTTGTTGAACATGAGAAAAAACCAACAGCACTCTCAAAACTAATAGCCCACATAACACATAATCATAATCCTGACAACCAACTTGTTTGGCTAAATATGTGCATTTAACAACCACTTATAAACTTTCGCACTTATTTACTCTAGCTAAAGTTAAAAATTCTTAAAACATTTTTACAAGCCAATTAAAGTCATAGGAAAAAAATAGGAATACTCTTTTTAGTAATACTAAGTTTGGTAACCATTTTTGAACCTAAATCCCTGGATACTTGATCAACACAATAACCTTCCAGATGCAAAATAGAAACTCCAACACTCTAATTTTATAGTAATCAACTAATAAACTTACATCAAATCCAATAAGGAAACTTGCTTTCATTACTTGTACTGGTTCCAAAATAACTAGAAAACGAGGCTCATCCCCACTCTGTATACGCTTCATCCAAACAGAAACTACAAAAATATTACCAGAAGAATCCACAGCCTCTAACTAAATAACAATTTTATTTTATTTGCAAAAAATACCATAATATAATTTTTAAAAATAAAATAAACTTAACTTTAAGAATTATTAATTTTTATTGTTGTGTAGTTAAAGGATAATGAGTAATGCTTAAATTTGTAAAAAATTGCATAAATTTGTGATTGCGAAATATAATAAAAGAATTAAAACATTTAATTTGTTATTTAAACATGAATTGATTTTTTTTTGTTTTTATGTTTATTAAATATTTGATTTTTTTTTGTTTTTATGTTTATTAAAGACTTTTCCTGTATATATAAATACTTACAACTTTTCCAGATACCATAATGATATTTCCAGCAACATCAACAGATTTCTCTATAAGAATTTCTTGCTTTGCTCGCTCTTCCATGGTAAAAAGATCATATATTTTTATATTATTACAAAGTTCTTGTTCACTGTATCCAAACAATGAACAGGCTGTTTCATTAGCCATTATTATTTCAGATGTCTTTCCATTGATTGTCAGTACTGCTTCAGTCTACAAATACAAACAATATGTCACAATATTTCTTTTGTTCACTTTTTGGTATATTATTTTTGATATATTATTTGGTATATATTCACAATTATGTGTTATTATAAACTTATTCTACTATAATTATAAATCCGCTACCAAGGAATAAGGTGCTTATAGTGCTGATTAAGAGGTACAATAAGTACCACTTAATAAGAACTATGAGCACCTTTTACCAAGATTTATAAACTCTTTCTACTAAGGGCATTCAATTTAAAAAAAATTCTTTTCAAGCTTGTGTTTTTAAGTTAAAGTGTTAAGAAGTTTTTAAAAAAGAATAAAAGATAGACAGAATACAAACAAGAAAGAAAGTGCAGCAGTTTGGGAAAAAAATCTAATCTTTGTTTTCCATGAAAGGGTGAAAACATACCAAGATAGAAGTGATGCGCTGTGTTGTTTAGACTTTGCAGCTAGTTAATTAATACATATAGCTTATTGTGATGCTTTAAAAGAAACATACTCTACCCAACTATTGGCAACGGCTCGGTATGTTGTGAAGAAACTAAGAAATTCATAATATATTTCTAATAGCAGTTTATGTTGATGCTATATATAGAATACTGATGGAAAAAAATCAGATATATAAGCAAAACAAGGCTTAAAAGCAGGGTTGGCGAAAACCCAGGTTTTTTTAAAAAAAAACCCTGCCCAGTGGGTTTTTGGGGTAATTTTAGGTTTTACTGGGTAAATTTGAGTTTTTTTGGGTTTTATTTTTATTTTGTCTCTTTTTGTTTATTTTGTTTAATGATATTGATAATTAGTTTCATTTTTCACTTTTACTTAATCTTTAACTATTTAAAATATATTTTATATATTGTTATTTATTAATTTATAACAAAATTTTTTCAAATTATTTTGAAAAAGATTTTTAAATGTAATTTAAAACTGTAATAGCAAAAAAAAATTCATGTTAAATCTATATGTATTAATTTATTTTAAATTTAAAAGTATTACTCTATATAATTAAAAATGTCAATAAGTAATGACAAAAAAAAGATTAAAGAATGAGAAAAAAAGATTAAAGGTAGTAACTGAAGTTTCGATTAAACTTTGAACTTGAAATTCAAATGAACGAACCTGTTTCTCTACTCAATGACCTTGTTTATAAAGATTCTTTTTTAGGAGTTAAAGAGTTGACAGAAGGTTGTAACTGCAATAAGGTAGCCTCCTCGACTGTAGCGGCCTTCTCTGGCCACTACTACTCATTTGAATTCACCTTGTGAGGTGAATATAATAAAAGATAAAAAAAATCTCAATCGATAAAAATATTTGAATAAAAATTGTAATAATATATTTCCAAATAATGATTTAAATATTAGTAAACCTGATCTGATAACTGTTATTGTTGGCTATAATAGTTAATAATAATAGTTAACAATAATTTAGTTAATAATAATAGTTAATAATTATTTTATTTAAAATTATTATAGTTATAATGTTAAAGTTAGTTATAATAGTTCATCAACTTATTAAATATTTTAAAAAAAAAAACCAATAAAACACAGATTACCAGGGTTTTATTGGGTTTTTTTAGGCTGGTTTTTATGGTTTTTTTTAGGCTGGTTTTTTGGGGTTTTATTGGGCGGGTTTTTTAATGCCAACCCTGCTTAAAAGCAATAGCAGAAAATAACAAAAATGCCAAAAAAATATCAGTAATTCAAGAAATATGAAAAACAGCAGAACCATCAACACTTAATTCAGTTTTAGGTGAATAAAATTATTTTTATTTATTATTTGAACTCACCTGCCCAAGGCCATGAAGGCCACTACAGTCGAGGAGGCTACTAAAATTGTGATTACAACCTGTTCTTAACTCTATAACTGCAAAACACGAACCTTGACAAACAATGCCGCTGCGCAGAGAAACAAGTTGTGTGCGGTACTACCAGGGAGGTGGTGGGGATCGAAGCCTCGCCATAGATGCTGCGGAGCTGGCGCTAAAAATTTTAATTGAGCCAGAGCTTGGTGCTGAAGCCAATTTTTTGACCGCAGCTCTGAAGCACTGCTACCATGGAATTAAAGTTTTTTATGTAACAGTATATACTGTTTCTTTTAAATTAGAAGGCAAAAATCAAATATTTAATCATAATTTATAAAATAAAAACACTAACTGACCATTTTTCTATTAGTGAATGAACTAGTACTATCTTCATTCACACCAACAAAATTGAAAAACTTCCAAGATGCATTTAGTGATTCATTAATCAAAGGACTAGGACATAATCCAGCATGGTATGAAGAAGCAAAACTAAAACTTCTGAAAGATTCAGAGAGCTTATCTAAAAATAAAAATTTTAAAAATTAAAAATAGGAATCAAAAAATGTTGCCAATGAAATAAAGTTGTTTAACTTTTTACTTATAATTTGGTATTTACTTTTGTTATGTTATTTTTCTATTGTTATGTTATTTTACTATTGTTCTTATGTTATTTTACTATTGTTTATCTGTTATTTTACCATTGTGTGTATGTTTACTTTTGTATTTTAATTTTTGTTATTATGTTATTTTACTATTGTTATTGTGTTATTTTACTATTATCAGGGTGTTAACAGGAAATAAATTTAATACAATGTTTTGACAAAATTTGGAACTTTTCAAAATATTTCCCGATCATCTGCCCCCACTTGAGATTAAAATATGTTCCGGGGATGCATGGGGTCTTTTTCTTATACTCATTTTTCTTCTACTTCACTTCAGCGCTGCATACATTGACTGGACAGCAAAAATAAAACAAAATACGGTCTGTATTATTTACTGAAGATGAATATGAAATGAATATATGTCTGCTACTATTTAATAATTCTAATTATTATTTAAATTCTGCTTGACATCCTTTTTGGACAAACCCTTACACTATCATGTAATAAATTGTGTCATCAAAAAAAATATTTTAAAAATAGAAAAATAAAAAAGGTTTCGAAAATATTAAACACGAGCTCATAAATTTCATATATCACATTTATTGCAAGTTCAATTTTAAAATTAATATTAATTTTGTCTATAAATAAACGGCATAGCCAAATAAAATTAAAATTACTAAGTCTGAGCAAAAACAACAACAAATGTTGTTTAATTATAAAAGAATATTGATCGCAAGTGATTGCACATTATTTTTAATCATAGTCATAAAATATTATTATGACTATGGTTTATTCAAAACTTTAAATTTGCTTATTAAATTGTAAACTTATTAAATTCAAGCAAGCAGCAAAACTAGTTTTCTTGTTTTTTAAATTTCTAGTAACAATTTGTTGAAATAAAAAACACATTCTTGCTATTAAACGTATTTAAATTATGTTTTAATATACTTATCTAATTTTCATTTTAAATAAAAGCAAGCAGTAAAGTAAAGAAATCTTTTTAAGAAATCTAATCCAGGGTTGGAAAAAACCCAGGGTTTTTTAAAAAAACCCAACCCAAATAGGTTTTTTTGGGTTTTATTGGGTTTTATGAGTTTTTTGGGGTTTTTTTAAAAACCGATCAAAATACCAAATTTTTATAACTGTATGAGTACAATAATTTTTTTTTTTAATTTCATAAACTCACCTCCCTATTGCTGCAATGACCACATCAGACAAGGGAGCAACTCATTTTTTAAAAATATTTTGTCTCAATCCTTAACATTACCATTTTTACTAACAAGCAACATTAACAACTAAAATTTTTACACAAATGCACTGTTCGAAGAAATAGATTGAGCGCAGTATTTTAAGCAGAGATAATTTGAACCCCAACCTTCTGGTTGCGAGCCAAATGTTTTACTACTATTCTACTAGCACATTTTACCTATAGTGCAAAAAGGGACTCCGTCAACTATAAATGATGTTAATTAATTGCACTAAATTAAAAACATGTTCAGAATATTTTTGACTAAAAAAAAATCACTATAAAAATTATTATGACAACTGAGTTATTCAAAGTTGGTAAGACAATATAAATGTTGGAAACTAGTTATATAGTTAAACCTTCTAAGTTATTGTTAATTAGAATGACTATGAACACTTTTTAAATATTTTTGCATCATTGAAGAAAACTTTTAGCCTTATCACTACATTTTTTTTTATCAGAACATTATACTTTCCAGCTTCCTGGAAAAGTTATCGACCTGATCAACTGGACTTAAACAAAAAATGGATTTTTGCCTAAGCTTTGGTTGTTATTAAAATATCTAAAATGAATTTGTTAAGAACCATTACAGTGTCTTCATTACTAGATTTTTTATTTCTTGAAGATGTTATACTGGCTTAGTTTTGCAATTGAATCAAAGTAATACATTAAATAGCTCTATTGTGTGTGTTTCTTCACCTTTGTGCAACTTGATACTGATGTTCATTTTCAACCTGCTGTTCATAGTCACCCCTGTTGATGGTACATGTTGTAAACTTGTAGCTGATGCAAAATATTTGAAACCTGTCTAAAGACAGATGAGCACGGGTATCATTTTTACCAACAAATCTTTGTCCTTGTGAAATGCAAACAAGTTTTCAACATGTTCTCTCATTGAATGAGCAAATATGTTGCAAACTTGCACATAACTTAATTTTTTTTATGTTTTAAAGTTGTATGTACTTAATATAGATGAGTCTAGTAAACTGTAGGATTTTTTTTTGCCTGACAACTTTCCATTTCTAAACTGTAAATAGTTTAATAATTTTTATATATAGCATTATGCTTGTGGCTTTGTACTGAAATTTGCAGTTAGTAACATAAGCTTTAAAAAATAAAAGATCAAATACCAATATAAAATGACATATATAAAATGCTTGTTTGGAAATATAGACATTCGAGAGGAGAATAAAGAAACTAAATAACTAGTAATGCCTTGAAATTTAGTTAATAAAATGATTTTTATTTCCTTTATACGTATTTAACAAATTTAATGTTTTAATACATATTTGAATAACATTTATAACAACTTGCTATATGTTTTAAAAAAATAATAGATATTCAACTTGCTACAAAAACAGATTGATCGGTTTTGGATATATTCTAAATACCATTATGTATATAAATACAGTGTTTACAAGAGTAATTACAGCATAAAAGTTGCATTTGCTGATAATAAAGCATTTATAAGTGTTAATATCAGAGTTATCAGTTGTAAAATAGGACATTTTTAAAAAAACCTAAATATATTTTGGGTTTTTTTGGGTTTTATTGGGTTTTTTCAAGGTGGATTTTTTCGGGGTTTTTTTGGGTTGGGTTTTTTTGCCAACCCTGATCTAATCTAACTAGAGTATGCAGTAAGACTTAATAAGTTATTTAACTTTTCAGATAAAAAGAGCAAAAAGCTATTTTTAGCTTCTTTTCTGTTTTTGTTTGTCTGTTATTTGGTACTTTATTTGTCTTTAGCTTGTTAGTTTGATGTTCTTTTTTAAAGTGTCTTTCCTTTGATCAGTTTCGGACTGTTTGTGTCTACTAAACTTGCACTGTTTACTTATTTTATTGCAAATTAATGTCAGTGGTTAATCCTTTCACTCCCTGTAAAAAACGGTTTAATGAATGCACAAAAAATGTCATTATTGATTTACAGGCTATGAAACAAAAACTTTTTGTCGGAATTTCACAAAGGATACATTTTGTGTGTGCGTTTTTTTTCTTCAGAAAAATGGATCAAATACTTTTAAAAAAACATCAAAGCAACAAGTTACTGCTTTTGAAGATTTAATAACAACCACAGAACAAATCTCTGGGCTTGAAAGAGTTAAATAAATGAACAAATAATTTATTAAACATTTTTATTTATAAATATAAATAAAAAAAATTTAAAAACTTTTAATTTTGCAAGTTTAAATGGTTAAAAATAGAATTTCAAAATTTCAAAAAATATTTTCTATCATTCAACAAAATGATTTACTTTTTTTTGTAATAGTGTTTTTCACCATTACAAAAATAAAACAACATACTATTACTCAAATGTTTTAAATGTTGTTTTTTTTATTTAAATTTAACCAATTGAACTTCACACAAAATATGCCCTAAAGGTACACAACAAAAAACGCCCGAAGAGTAACAGACAGGGATTATTTGACATATATCTTTAAAATTGCTTAGTTCTGGTTTTAAAAAATAACAATTGAAAACAACTTCTAAAAACAGTTTTTTTTTTATTCATTGAATTTTATAGACGAAACCGAAAGTTTAACTACAATTTAACTGAAGTAGGTAAGCACAAAATAAACATTGTGACAGGGTAACTAAATATGAAACACTATATCATTTGATAATTTTGATTTTGTTTCAATAAAAAAGCATTAACTTGCTTTATGTTTAATAACAACTACTTCATAACTTTAACTTGTTAAATGTAAATAGTAATGTCTTTCGAAGATTATAGTACTTGGAAAATAAAAATTAAGTGGTGTTGATAAATTTACAGTTAGCTATTGTAAAGAATTGTGCAACAGCTTTTGCCATTCCACTTATGTATATTATCAAAGAGTAGTTTGAAACTAGCAAACTGCCAGTGCAATTTAGATCAGCAAATATCACACCTCTGTAAAAAATAAAAAATAAAAAAAATATTTGCAGGCCAGTATCATTCACTTTAATTGTATGTAAAATAATGGAAGGCATAGTTAGATGTAAACTTGAAACTTTTCTGTATAAGTTCAAACTAATATTCAAGCAACAGGACATTTTTGCAAACCGAATGTTGGTTTGGATTAGGAAATGGTTTGTCCATTTTTATATTAGACTCCTGAGATCACTTTTTCTTTTTTTTGCGATAACTTGTTTGATGCTCTATTACATTAATAGAGTTCAAATTATTCTAATTTCTAAATTTTGTATTTATATATTAAAACATTTTTAATAAGATACATGATTGCACTATGTATCATAGAGCCACCTAAATTGTTTAAATGCAATTTACATATGGTCACGCGCTAAAGTTGCAAATTTGTCTAGTTCATGGAGTTATTTATATAAAAATAATTTGTTTGTGAGTGTTTTAAATAAAAGATTATATCCCTCCAACTCATATTTAATATATTTTTAATAAGAAATATCAGCCATTTTGTATTTCTAGCTAAAGTATAGTGTTTAGAAAACCATTATATAATTTTAAAACTATTGCAACATTACAAGAAAAAATTTAATCATTCAGGTAGCCTAAAATATGATGAATATATTTTTGTTAAAATTGTTCTTTAAGATTTTTTTTTTTCAACATTTTCACTTCTAACAAGGCTGTAAGCAACCACTAATAGCCGAAAGTTACTGGAAGAGAAAAGATGGAGTATATAAAGCAAGATAACGATTAACAGGCAACTTAAA